AGGGGTTGAACTTCTACCGGGAGGTTCACTTGTTGACTTAGAATATGCCGATGACATAGTTTTATTTGGTGAAGACACTGACAAAATGCAGAGTCTTCTGACCACTCTAAGCAACAATGCAAGCATGTTCGGGATGCGATTCTCTCCCTCGAAATGCAAAATGTTGCTTCAGGATTGGGTTACATCGACAGCCGAACTAGTGATAGGGAGTGAAGTAGTTGAGTGTGTCGACCGCTTCACTTATCTTGGAAGTCTCATCAGCCCTTGTGGTCTGGTGTGTGACGAAATCTCAGCACGGATACAGAAGGCTCGACTAGCTTTTGCCAACTTGCGTCATTTATGGCGTAGGCGAGATATCCGTCTGTCAACCAAAGGACGTGTTTACTGCGCAGCAGTTCGTCCCGTCCTACTTTATGGCAGTGAAACATGGCCGGTAAGAGTAGAGGATATTCGTAGGTTACTAGTATTTCATCATAGGTGTCTTCGAAGTATTGCTCGTATACCCTGGGATCACCGAGTAAGTGACGCAGCTGTTAGGAAACGGGTACTAGGTAAGGATGGCAAATCAATTGATGAAGTGGCGAAACTTCATCAGTTGAGATGGCTGGGACACGTGTTACGTATGCCCAATTACCGACCGCCCCGACGTGCGATGTTCTGTGGGGTAGGAGTAAGTTGGAAGAAAGCTAGGGGCGGCCAGACCGAAACATGGCACAAATGCATGAAGTCACTGACAAGTGGACTGAGTCATGTTGGTAGGTGTAGACTACCTGGTTCGGGACCGCGAGATGATAGCAACCGATGGTTAGAGACCCTGAATGACATGGCTCAAAATCGTTTGCAATGGCGCAGGTGCATCCACTCTTTGTGTTCTCCCAAATTATAATCTCCTGAATCCTCCTTGTCTCTTTTTTTCTCTTTCCAAATTTATTTCACTGGATTATACTCTTTGTATAACATCTTCAAACCCTAATCTTTCCGATTACTGCTTATACTCTTACCGCCTCTACCACTACGGGATTTGAATCGACACCTGCATCTCTGTGCTAATGTGGTGTGGTAACTCGAACTGATGTACGCACGAAGTTCTACTTTGTTACTGACTGACTGAGAATCAAGAGAGGAGCTGATATAGCATCAGATCATCACTTGCTGGTCGCCAAGATGAAATTGAAACTCAAGAAGCACTGGACAATGGGGCGGACAATATCACAAAAGTTCAATACGGCCTTTTTTCAGGATACTAACAAACTCAAGATAGGCCTCAGCAACAAGTTCCAGGCCTTTCATGATCTACTCAATGGAGAAGGAACTACTGTGGAGAGCAACTGGAAGGGGATCAAAGAGGCAATCACTTCAACATGTCACGAGGTCCTGGGTCACAAGAAGCACCATCACAAGGAATGGACCACTGTCAATACACTGGATAAGATTCAAGAAAGAAGGAATAAGAAGGCAGCAATCAATGCCAGTCGAACAAGAGCAGAAAAAGCCAAGGCACAAGCTGAATACACAGTAGTAAACAAACAAGTGAAGAAGAGCATCAAACCGACAAACGTAAATACGTGGAAGATCTAGCAATGACGGCGGAAAAAGCTGCAAGAGAAGGGAACATGAGACAACTGTATGACATAACAAAGAAACTTTCTGGAAATCGCCGTAAACCTGAACGATCAGTGAAAAGCAAGGAAGGAGAGGTAATCACCAACATTGAAGAGCAACGAAACAGGTGGGTAGAACACTTCAAAGAACTCTTGAATCGACCAGCTCCACTGAACCCACCCAACATCGAAGCAGCACCCACGGACCTCCCAATCAACGTTGGCCCACCAACAATTGAAGAAATCAGCATGGCCATCAGACAAATCAAGAGTGGCAAAGCAGCAGGTCCAGACAACATTCCAGCAGAGGCACTAAAAGCAGACGTAGCGGCAACTGCAAGGATACTCCACATTCTCTTTAATAAGATTTGGGATGAGGAACAAGTACCAAAAGACTGGAAAGAAGGACTTCTGATAAAAATACCGAAGAAAGGCGATCTCAGCAGCTGTGATAACTACAGGGGCATCACTCTTCTTTCAATACCGGGAAAAGTCTTCAACAGAGTATTGTTAAACAGGATGAAGGACTGCATAGACGCCCAACTTCGTGACCAACAGGCAGGATTCCGCAAGGATAGATCGTGTACAGACCAAATCGCAACTCTACGGATCATTGTGGAACAATCAATTGAATGGAATTCATCACTCTACATCAACTTCATTGACTACGAAAAGGCATTTGATAGCGTGGACAGGACAACACTATGGAAGCTTCTTCGACACTACGGCGTGCCTCAAAAGATAGTCAATATCATACAGAGTTCATATGATGGATTACACTGCAAAATCGTGCATGGAGGACAGTTGACAAAGTCGTTCGAAGTGAAGACCGGTGTTAGGCAAGGTTGCTTACTCTCACCCTTTCTCTTTCTCCTGGTGATCGACTGGATCATGAAGACGTCAACATCTGAAGGGAAGCACGGGATACAATGGACATCTAGGATGCAGTTGGACGATCTGGACTTCGTAGATGATCTGGCCCTTCTATCCCAAACGCAACAACAAATGCAGGAGAAGACGAACAGTGTAGCAGCAGCCTCAGCAGCAGTAGGTCTCAATACACACAAAGGGAAGAGCAAGGTTCTCCGATACAACACAGCATGCACCAATCCAATCACAATTGACGGAGAAGATTTGGAAGATGTAAAAACCTTTACATATTTGGGCAGCATCATTGATGAACATGGTGGATCTGATGCAGATATGAAGGCGCGGATCGGCAAAGCAAGAGCAGCATATTTACAACTGAGGAACATCTGGAACTCAAAGCAACTGTCAACCAACACCAAGGTCAGGATTTTCAAAACAAATGTTAAGACAGTTCTACTGTATGGGGCGGAAACCTGGAGAACTACGAAAGCCATCATCCAGAAGATACAGGTGTTTATTAACAGTTGTCTACGCAAAATACTTCAGATCCGTTGGCCGGACACTATTAGCAACAGCGTACTGTGGGAGAGAACAAACCAGATCCCAGCGGAGGAAGAAATCAGGAAGAAGCACTGGAAGTGGATAGGACACACATTGAGGAAAGCACCCAACTGCATCACAAGACAAGCCCTCACATGGAATCCTCAAGGTCAAAGGAAAAAAGGAAGACCAAAGAACACATTACGCCGGGAAATGGAAATAGACATGAAAAAGATGAACACGAATTGGATGGAATTAGAAAAGGAGGCCCAGGACAGAGTGGGTTGAAGAATGTTGGTTGGCGGCCTATGCTCCATTGGGAGTAACAGGCGTAAGTAGTCGATTTGAAGGTAGTTCACGTCAAACACTAAAACTCGTTTTTGGGAACGTTACTATTTTAACTAAGTGCATTTGCGACTTTAATAAAAAGTAGGACTTATAGTCACTTGGTGTTATATTTACAATAACAACTAATGAACAACCTAAGAAAGCAACAAGGTTCAAAAACAGTATTAAAAAACATGCCGATATTCTAGCTAGTTTGGTTGTAAAGTGAAGCAAGAAGTAACAACCGCATTTATCATTGTTGAGTCTGTTTGGGAAAAGATCATAGCAATGGTATTGTATAACTTCCATCACCTCGGTTTGCCCTACCTGTGATTCTTTTGGAACGATACTAAATTTTAATGACTCACATATTGTGTCCTCTACTTACTATTTAAAACTTTGTAGAACTTAATTTGTCTATGGAACAAGTTCCTAGATAATTCCCTGCACTGTCGCACAGAGTTTTGGCATGACTAGCATCAATGATGTTCCTCCCATTCCCCCCTACTTTGTGTGAACCTTAAGTGTGTCTCTGTTGTGTGGTGTTGAAGATGAAGTCACCCCACATAGCAGACTCAGTCCTCTAAAACTATTACGTTAAATGTGTTAACAAGCCTGTTTCCTATACCGAAGTTTAAAGTTAAAGACGTTAATAAGCAAGTAGAATTCGTCATTAAAATAAGTTGTGTAAAGTTTGTATGAAAGTGAACTGCCTAGTCAGAAACTGTTGGTCGTGAAAGGTAGCTCGATCGAAAGGTGTGTTTGAAAGCGACATACATAAGTTCACACAAAGTACGGGGGAATAGGCGGACATCATTAATGTTAGCCATGCCGAAACTCTGTGTGCGACAGTGTAGAGACTTGTTCGATAGACAAATTAAGTCCTTAAATCAGATACCTGTGGAAACTGGTGTAAAAGCATCATCTATAATCAGTTTATCTTATAAATTAGCTTAAGCATGAACAGAAGCAACCAAACATAGCTTTTTCACAAATTCCCCTTGAAGACTTAAAGGTAGCGATCCACCACAAATGCTGCATACAAAAGCAAAAACTGAACACATATTCAGATAGGAACTAAATACACATATTGAAATTGAGGAATACTGTTATGATGTGTGGTGTCCGAAATCTGATGCTGATACAATGAGCTACCCCCCCTCAACTGACTACTTCAGCAAGATCACAAGAGTGAGAGAGAAAGTGCATTGGACTACCGAATGAAATATATATATATATATATATATATATATATATATATATATATATATATATATATATATATACCACTCTAACCTTAGAAAATTGACCCAACGAAATGCATTTGACCTTCGGATTACTTCTGATTGCCATCGACAGACATTTTAATTAGGCTACATCTGACTGGCTCTCTATGTCAAACGTTTTAATTAAAGTAAAACCGAAGTGTAGGTTGCTGTAGAAGTAACTGAGTTACAAGTAACACAATATTATATCAGATATCAAGTTCAAAAAAGCCATTACGATAATTCCACTTAAACCAAAGTTTTGTACATTATGAATTAGGTTACTTAAAAAATACACATCTAAGCAGTAAAATTATACATATAGCATTCACGATAAACTATCTTATAAGAATTTCAATACGGTCAAATAACATATTCCTTAAACTTGTCCAATTACCTAGAGAACCTTGTGTACTCAGTGATGCAGATGTACCAATACCGCCAACTCCACCAACAACAGTTGTGCGTTTGCTAAGCAGACTGTTGAAAAAATTGGCTAATACACCTTCAGAAGCCCCTGGTCCAGGTCCACCTGTTGTCCCAGCAGCTCCACCAACAGCTGAAGGAGGCTAAAAAACAAATAAGATTTGAGTGGTAAACGGAAGTGGAGTAAATATGACAATCTAAAAGCAGATATAACGTTTATTGTGAAACTATTCGTTCAAATTTAGATGAAAGTTCTTATTTACAGATATAAAATGTTGCTACTTATCGAGATTCTACAAATATGGCATTATTTTGTTGTTTACATTCTACTCAATTAACTCGAAATTTAGTATTGGTACATATAGTGTTTGGTTTAATGTTAAGAGCCTAGAAAAAAACCATTTTATCCGGACTATATTAGCTAGAAACTGCAGACATTAATGAAAATAAAAAATCCATCTACTTTAAATCAATATATTAGCTGACTCAGACAAAAAACGCTGAGTAAAACCATATATTAAGTTTTTCCAACTACAAAGAAGGGAGAGTAGTTGAAGCTTTCCATATAATGCTTAATCATACTGATTTCCATAGAAAAGAAGGCCTCATCATACCTCCGAATTCAACTATCTATCCAAGCTTCCATGTGTGATTCTATTCACATCTCACACTGTTATCGTACGTATAAATTAAACTCTATCCTTTTGCACCACAAAGGTTACGTTTTTACATCCCTAACCTTGCGCACATACAAACACACAAAAATCTACATACATGTCACTTGTAAATCACCTTGACCGAAATGACATGACATTGACTTGTTCAGACCTGTTTTTTCATTGATTGCATATAATATTCTTGCGTAGTTCCTTTGTACTATTTTAACTTGGATTAGTTTTGATTTTGGTTATTTATTCTCTGAAGAAGTGGCTTGCAGTGAGTCACGAAACGTCAGAAAATCTAATTTTACTACTCATTGGGATATTGCAAATATTTTATTTATAACAATCTACCCAATGCTCGATTGATTCGAAATTATCAAGTCGAAACTTGGTAATGGTACCTACATATCGATAATGCAATGACCGACGAAATCATTTACCTAAGCTTATGTCCAGTTGAAAAGGTCAGATGGTTTTTTATAATGATCTATATGTAGAAAACTGACATGGAATGGTCAATTTACGAATTTCCATAGCTGGATTCCATTGAGTAGAAAGAGGAATTTAATTCACAATTAATCCTCAAGGATTAGGCGAATATCTACTAATGACACAATAAGACGACGAACTCCTTCAACTTCAACAGATATTCATCAGGAATGGTTATCCACTTAGATTTGTCAATAGAAACTTAAAAGTAAGACAACGTTCCGAAAAAGCACCAACAGTTCAAAAGAAAACTTTTTATGAATATTAAATTTAAAGGAGATACGACTGCCGAACTCTTGAAAAAACGGATTGCAAAATCCCTGAATAAAACCTTCAATTCAGCTAATCTCTGAATTGTCTTCTCAAGCCGACCTACCATTCACACATGTGTTGATGATGAAATTCTGCTTTCGGTCACATAGATGTGCATCTATGAATTCACCTGCTTCTGCGAGACAGGTTACATTGGCCACACAAAGCGATCACTTTCCAAACGCATCTCAGGGCATTACCCATTGTGGCTTTTAAAAGGGTAATGCAAAACAAATACCAGTTTAATACAAGGGTACCTAATCAACTCTGAACACGTCGCTTCGAAGGAGTCTTCCCTTAAGAGCTACACAATCAAAGGAACCGGATCGAGGGGAAGCCGAATTAAAAACTTATGCACTGTTGAAGCGTTGGCAATCCATCAATTCAAGCCTGTGCAAAAACGATACGTCCAACCTCTCACTATTATTAATGGCTTTATTCAATATGATAATTTGGTACAATATAGAATTCTCAGCACAGGGTATTTCAACAAGTTTCTTACACGAAAAAAAAATCTGAAAAAAACTGTACAACTTTTCGAATTAGAGACATGTTAAGAATGCAGGTTATTGACTAGATTAACTTTAACAACCTGTTCGTCACAGAGTATATTTGCTAGGTAAGGTATTATAGAACTTTTATACTTTTACTTGCGTGCATGGATTTTAATGTAATTACGTCTCATTCTACCAGAACATATACAAGGAGAAAGATAAGAGGGGGATGGTTAGTACCTGATAAAATAACACATGCCAGGAGTTTGCATGACTTTAGATATCTATCCACAACCATAATAATTATGACCTCGAAAGATTCATCACACACCTTGCTAACTACTTTCAACACTCTCCGCAATACAGCAAAGTCTTTTCTCAAACGCCCGGGAAAGAATAATGAAGAACAGTAAAGAATAATAGGTAATATGCAAGAATTGACAAATTGTAAGAGTGAATATCGAGTAATTTCAAGAGCATGCAATCTCTTTATGTAGTAAGTCAGACGGAAAACCTTATTCGATAACAATAAAGCGTGAGAAGGCCAAGAGAGATCAGAGTTAATACAACCTTAAACTTGGGAGATTCGTCCCTGAACCATTTGGGATTACCAGTAGTTTGGTAACACCATATCATGTCGCGAAATTATTATTAACAAGAAATTACTAGTGTATTCATTCTACAGTCGGTAACTCATGTATAATTTAGTTTACGTGCTGTTGTGTTGCAAATACTGCAATATATTGTGAAACACATTGAAATAGTCTGAGTTGATGTGATATACAAGAAAATGAAATGCTAAAACTTTTTATCTCACATAAATCGGAATTACTTATTTTCATTGGTTCATATAGTCTATACATTGACTTTTCTCTGCCATCAATTATACAGTCAGGTTGATAAACAGAATTATCTAAATGTATGCCTATCGATTATAGTTATACCAAATTTTCTGTTTCTTTTCTTATCGATCGTTAGAGCATGGCTAATAATGATGTAGATCATTATTATTATTTGATCGATTTGTACACATATAAAGCAATCTAGTGACTACAGACAAAACGACTACTAGTGAATTAAATGATACAAAGGTAATGTGATAATGATATAAAACTGTATATAAACAAAAACATTTTGAAATAATAGTTGAATTAAATTGCCTACTACTAGAAAGTGACGACATAAAAATTAAAATAAAGTAGACAAGAATGTAATGTTATTAGATTGAGGAATCCTTGAATTTAGTTAAAGATAAATTATTTTAGTCCTTTCAAGGTAAGTGGTGGTGTACTTAGGGATCATCAAGTCCCGAGATATTTTAGATATACTTTAAGGAAAGTTAAGAGAAATACTAACTGACGAATCAACATCAAATTAAAGCTAGAAGTGTCGAGTCTAGGTTTTGCAAAATAATGAGGATTTCAACGACAGCAAAAAAAACCGCGATACAGTATCACAATTTTATTATTCAGCACTGTGATGTGATATTAATCTTCAGCAGATATGGTATTTATCAAAAGATTGGAGAACAAAATCAATGGATAATGAGTCATTTAATTCAAAAGTCATCTGGAGGATTGTGTATTATGCGATATATATGTTGTATTAAAGCTAATGATACAACTTATTCCTCCAAACTCCTTTAGGTGGAACAGTGTTGGACCATGTGATCAATGGGTTGGTGGGACTTTATCTGAACTTAGTGGGATTTATCCAGTCTTTATAATGGCATATTCAGTATGCTGCACTGATGGATCTAACAGAGAATCACATGTAAAATTTAGTATATTTGTAAAGATAAGATCGAAATATATAACGCATTGAAATATTCACTTTTAAAACGATATCCAATACACTATAAATTTCCCGAAGTTTGAAACCCATGACACTTGTTAACACAAACCTCAGTTTCGATCATTTCGATCAAAATATACAAGATACTTTTATGTATATCCTATTTGCTGTAGTACTTACTTTTAAAGGCAGCGACTTTAAAAAATATTCGCACACTGTCTCATCAGAATCGTATATATTCATATACGTAAGCGAAATATTTTTTATTGGTAGCCCATGAAGAACAGTTGTTACAGTGACAATATTAAGAAAATGCAAACAAATTTCAGAAGTAAGATAAATTAAGAGGGATTATGAAATAACTAATACCACTAGCATTATTAGAACAGAACAGATTGCCTTTGTAAACAGTAATTTAAGATAATCAAGACTACGAATAACATACACACCACATAATCAATAATGTTGCAGAGTTGGACAAGTAAAACCAAACACAATGCATTTTAGAACAATAATCCAAAACAATGAAAAACTCAAGCACCAAATAAATGGAAAGCTTTGGATCCAGGTTTCGTACGTTCAAGAATTATAGGTAAGGAAAATCATCTACGGACAGAATGAAGATGCGACTACTTCGAAATTTGAATACACGAGAATGAATGCTTCAGATGGTGACTAGTGGACGATTTTCATCACCAACTGTAGAAATCACGGCATGGTATCAGAAAGCTCGTTTGGCTTTTGACAACTTACGTCACCTATGATGAAAGCGAGATATCCGTCTGTCAATAGAAGTACGAGTATACAGATCAACATTTCGTTCTGTTCTACTTTACGTCTGTGAAACGTGGCCATTATGAGTAGAAGATACTCGTAAGTTACTAGTATTTGATCACAGATGTCTTAGAAATATTGCTCGCATCTGCTAGGATCACCGGGTAAGTAATAGTGAGTTAGAAGCATAGTATTAGGGAACGATGGTAAATCAATTGATGAGGTTATAAATCTTCATCGACTGAGGTGGCTGGGCCACGTGTTACGTATGCCTGTATACCGATTACTACGACGCGCTATGCTGACTAGTGTTGGGGATGGTCGGAAAAAGTCAGTCAGTCAGTAACAAAGTAGAACTTCGTGCGTACATCAGTTCGAGTTACCACACCACATTAGCACAGAGATGCAGGTGTCGATTCAAATCCCGTAGTGGTAGAGGTAATAAAAGTATAAGCAGTAATCGGAAAGATTAGGGTTTGAAGATGTTATACAAAGAGTATAATCCAGTGAAATAAATTTGGAAAGAGAAAAAAAGAGACAAGGAGGATTCAGGAGATTATAATTTGGGAGAACACAAAGAGTGGATGCACCTGCGCCATTACAAACGATTTTGAGCCATGTCATTCAGGGACTCTAACCATCGATTGCTATCATCTCGCGGTCCCGAACCAGGTAGTCTACACCTACCAACATGGCTCAGTCCACTTGTCAGTGACTTCATGCATTTGTGCCATGTTTCGGTCTGGCCGCCCCTAGCTTTCTTCCAACTTACTCCTACCCCACAGAACATCGCACGTCGGGGCGGTCGGTAATTGGGCATACGTAACACGTGTCCCAGCCATCTCAACTGATGAAGTTTCACTACTTCATCAATTGATTTGCTATTCTTACCTAGTACCCGTTTCCTAACAACTGCGTTATTTACTCGATTAGTCGGAAAAAGTTAGGGGCGGCCAAACCAAAGCGTGGCATCAGTCCTTGAAGTCACTAACTTCTGGTCTGAGCCATGCAGACTACTTGGTTGTGGTCTGCGCGACTATCGTAACCAATGGTTGGAGACTGTGTGAAATGGCTGAGAATCGATCACAGTGGCGTGAGTGTATGCATTCTTTGTTTTCCCTCAAACTGTGAGCTTAAAATTAATTTAGACTTTTCTTTCTACGAACCAGTTCTTTCTTCCTGTATCATATTCTTATATGCAATATTTTTTTAATGTATTACTACCAGTGACGTAAGTGCCTCCACGAATTCGGTGTTCATCTTGTTAATCTAATGAAGTATGACAACTTGGATCAATTCATAAATGTGCCCAGTCCTATATTGTAGTTGACTGACTTTCATACCGCATAAACTTTTTTAGGGACAAATAAATAAAATCCTAATAGGTAGTAAATTTTGTACTTCAAGTGTTAATGCTGATTAGCATATTGCAGAACAGTTCTTTATTGATATGAATGAACATTTTCACAAACAGTATGTAGTGGCCAGATTTATAGTGATCATAAATCTTTTGAAACACTTATCAAACGGTAGGCTCTCACAAATGAAGAAAATTATTAAGTGTAGAAAATAATCTTATGGAAATTAAAGGTAGTCGTGAAAATTGAAATAATAGACCTTGATTACCAAATAAATTAAGTCAGTCAGACAGTCAGTAACAACGTAGAACTTCGTACGTACGTACATCAGTTCGAGTTGCCACACCACATTAGCACAGAGATGCAGGTGTCGATTCAAATCCCGTAGTGGTAGAGGTAATAAAAGTATAAGCAGTAATCGGAAAGATTAGGGTTTGAAGATGTTATACAAAGAGTATAATCCAGTGAAATAAATTTGGAAAGAGAAAAAAAGAGACAAGGAGGATTCAGGAGATTATAATTTGGGAGAACACAAAGAGTGTATGCACCTGCGCCATTGCAACCGATTTTGAGCCATGTCATTCAAGGTCTCTAACCATCGGTTGCTATCATCTCGCGGTCCCGAACCAGGTAGTCTACACCTACCAACATGGCTCAGTCCACTTGTCAGTGACTTCATGGACTTGTGCCATGTTTTCGTCTAGCCACCCCTAGCTTTCTTCCAACCTACTCCTATACCACTGAACATCGCACGTCGAGGCAGTCGGTCGTTGGGCATACGTAACACGTGTCCCAGCCATCTCAACTGATGAAGTTTCGCCACTTCATCAATTGATTTGCCATCCTCAACTAGTACCCGTTTCCTAACAGCTGCGTTACTTACTCGATGGTCCCATGATATACGAGCAATGTTTCGAAGACACCTATGATCGAATACTAGTAACCTACGAATATCCTCTACTCTTACCGGCCATGTTTCACTGCCATAAAGTAGGACGGGACGAACTGCTGCGCAGTAAACACGTCCTTTGGTTGATGGACGGATATCTCGCCTACGCCATAAATGACACAAGTTGGCAAAAGCTAGTCGAGCCTTCTGTATCCGTGCTGAGATTTCGTCACATACCAGACCACAAGGGCTGATGAGACTTCCAAGATAAGTGAAGCGGTCGACACACTCAACTACTTCACTCCCTATCACTAGTTCGGGTGTCGATGTAACCCAATCCTGAAGCAACATTTTGCATTTCGAGGGAGAGAATCGCATCCCGAACATACTTGCATTGTTGCTTAGAGTGGTCAGAAGACTCTGCATTTTGTCAGCGTCTTCACCAAATAAAACTATGTCATCAGCATATTCTAAGTCAACATGTGAACCTCCCGGTAGAAGTTCAACCCCTGGAAATTTAGATGAGGAGAGTGTCATCTCTAAAAGTACGTCGACCACAAAGTTGAACAAGAATGGAGAGAGTGGACAGCCCTGACGAACACCACTTGAAGTAATCAATTCTGATGACAGTTCGCCATAAGCTCTCACTTTACCAGTTGTGTTCGAGTAGAGAGCCTTTATAAGGTTAATGTACTTCTTTGGTACTCCTTTCAGTGACAAACACTGCCATAGAACCTCACGATCAACAGAGTCGAATGCCGCCTTAGGGTCGAGAAATACTACCATTGTGGGGCATCTGAATGTGTGTCTGTGTTCTAGAACCTGACGTCGTGTGAATATCTGATCTATACAACCACGTCCAGGTCGAAAACCAGCCTGATTTTCTCTAGTCTGTTCTTCACGAGCTCTGGTTAGGCGTCGAAGTATTATTGAGGCTAATATTTTAGACACTATATTAGTCAAACTGATTCCTCTGTGATTGTCACAAGAGGACTTTTGTCCTTTATTATAGACTGGCACAATCAGTGATTGAGACCAGTCAGATGGAATTACGTCCAGTTCCCAAATTCTACCTAAGACCTCAGTTAATCTCATTGTTAATACTGGACCACCATCCTTAAAAATCTCAGGAGTAAACCTGTCAGGGCCTGCTGCTCTCCCTCGTTTCAGATTTCCTATGGCTTTTTCAACTTCGTAAAGAGACAGAGGACTTACATTAACTTGCCATTCAGGTTGACTAGAGATCGTGGGAAACCGAAGTGTGGCTGAAGGCCAGTTGAACTGATCCCTGAAGTGTTCTGCCCATCGATCCAATCTACTGGATTGGGAATGAATAATATGTCCATCTTTCTCTGAGATTGTTTCGCTAACGGTCGGGTTCCTAATTCCGGTTTCCTTAACGAGTCTGAACAATTGTCTGCTATTACCTATTGCCACTGCCTTTTCCATCTCTCTTGCTTTTGCTACCCACCACTGTTCGTGATCATTGCGTAGACTTCTTGTCAGCTTGCCCTTAAGCTGACTCCGCTCTTCACTATGTTTAGAGCCAGGTGGAATGAGTTTCCGAGCATCTATCAGTGTGATAGATGCTGCTGAGATCCAGTGTTGCTCTCTAACCTTCTGGTTTACCTTACTAGCAGATATCACTGCTGTTTCCACAGCTTTTCGGATATCATTCCATGCTGCATCGGGGTGGGAATCACATACATGGCTGCCTAACTGTTTTCCTAGTTGTTCCTGAAATATACTCTTAGCTTGACTATCATTAAGTAGGCCCCTAAGAGGTTTCCTTGCAGCGTCTTTCCTACGTCCAGTAAGACGCAAGCAAATACGCGCTCGTACTAGAGCATGATCTGAATCTAGGCATGTGCTCCAGAATGAGCGACAGTCTTCTATCGAGCCCCTCCATCGGTGGCTGATAGCGATGTGATCTAGTTGGGTCCAACGTTGGGACGAATTAGGGGGTCGCCATGTTAAAAGATGTTTTACCTTATGCTTAAAGTTAGTATTTGCAAGGAACAGGCGGTTATCTAGGCATAGCTGCAACAGACGGTCGCCATTATTTGTTCTTTGAGCCACGACACCATAAGATCCACCTAGGTGTCTTTCCCTATCGCTTAGTTTACCTACTTGAGCATTAAAGTCACCGGCCACTATTACTACATCCGATCGCCTAGCTTTTCGGAGAAGGTCGGAAAGCTTTCTTTAAAACTCATCTTTTACATCATCTGAGCTGCAGTCAGTGGGAGAATAGGCAGAAACGACGAAGAGGCAACGACGGGTGTCCCTACCTTTCCGGATTCTTACTGTTCCGTTCAGTCGGACAGCGCACAAACGGCTGTCTACTGAGATCCACTCTAAGAGAGCTAATTCTGCTCTGGGACTCAATGCTATACCTACGCCGGCGAGGCCACGCGACGCAGAATCAGGGCTTCCAGATACACGAAGCGTAAATCGAGTCGTTTCTTTATTTTGGCATGGTGAAGTCAAATGAATGACGCTACTCGGATCTTGTATGCGCGTTTCGGAGACGCAGCACACATCGATGGCGCGAGATTCTAAAGTGTGAGGTGATAAAGAGACGTGAGGAGGGTTAGTCATGGAGATAAGAGAGGTATTATGAGGTGTAGGAAGGATTTGAATGTGACCAACTTGGTCTCGTGTGCTGTTACGAGTATGAGGGCTGATGTCACTTCCCGGCTGCTCACACCGTGGAAGGGTATTTCTTGAGGAACCTGAAAAGGAAATTGGATTAGTGTTGGTCTTGACGACCTGGGAGCGTGACCGCAGAGCCCAAGGGACAACTGCTTGAGGCCGGTCGCGCACGGCCTTTTTGAGGTAGGTTTTTGACGTGTTAGCTCTGTTCTTCAAAGGGCCTTACCGCCGGAGACGGAAATCCGTGAGGTAAGGTGAGGTGTGACATTTTTAGGGTCGACCTTTTCTAACCCCACTCCTCCTTGTGGGAAGGCAGCATCGCTGTCATGCTGGTTGTCTGAGGGAAACACCTTACTGCTGTCACACCTCTCTACAGTCAGCAGTACGACTTCGCCCTCAGACCTTGAGTTGCTGTTTTTAGTCTTACCGTTCACCAATCGACCTGCCTGGCATGGTAGAACCTACAGGAACATATGTTCCAGCCAATATAGCTCGGTTAGGTCATCACGATAGGCAAGCCCGACCACCGCGTCAAGGTAGCAGCTTCGGTCGGGAAATAAATTAAGTACTGTGACAAAAATATTTGGTCGAATACCTTTGATCTACCAGCAGAACCAGGTGTACGAGGAGATCCAGAAACTGGTCTACTTCCAACATTAGAAGATGTATTCATCAAGGCAGTAGTTGTTCCAAGCTGATCCATAACAGAATCCGAATTACCAGATATTGTATTATTTGAAATATTTGCTTGAGCATTATCTCTTTGCATACTGACCGAGAGGCGAGTAAGAAATGACTATATGAAAAAACATTAGATAATTATAGATGCTATGTAAAAATTAGGGCTAAAAAAATTCAGTGCCCAAAGTGAAAAGTGTACGGTAGTTTTATTAAATTCATCCAAACTCAAAATAGACATTTAAAACTAAATATTTTGACTACGTACACGATTTGACTGTTGAAACGACTGATATAATGTTGCAGTCAATTGATAGCAACCGAGGAAACCAAATATAGTAACTCGTCATATTAGCAGCCTCGAACCCTAATGATAATCAAAAAACTTGAACAGCTGGTCAGGTTTGCATTTTCACACTATGTAACTTGCTGAAATGTAGCACATAGCCCTCCATTCGATGGACCATTCAAAGTTATCTCAAGGGGACCTAAATATCAATAAGTTACTTAAACTTATCTCAATATTCTTTGCAATCCCATAAAACCTGCTTAAATATGAAAGATATTATGCTAACGTTACTGAAACATGTGTTTCATTGCATTTCCGAAGTAACTTAAAGTGGTCTATTCACAAAACTTATGTACCCATTAGCTGTTTGTGAATAATAATAATAATAATAATAATAATAATAATAATAATAATAATTTCTTAGACTGAAACTTGCTTATTTACGCCTCTTATCCCTCGTGGAAGAGCATTGGCTGCTCATTAGCATTCTCCATCCAACCCTGTCCTGAGCAATCCTTTTCAGCTATCCGGTTGTTGTTAATCCTTTTCATATCTGATTCCATTTCCCAGCGTAATGTGTTCTTTGGCCTTCCTCTTTTCTGCTTTCTTTCAGGATTCCGAGTTAGGGCAGGCCTACTGATACAGCTTGATGATTTCCATAATGTATGTCATATCCACTTCTAGCGGCTTTTCATAATTTCCTCTTCAGCTGAAGCTGGTTTGTTCTCTTCCACAGTAGGCTGCTGCTGATGTTTTCCGGTCAACAAACATTCAATATCTTACATAGACAATTGTTTATAAATACTTGTACCGTTTTGATGATGGTTGTAGTAGTTTTCCAAGTTTCAGCTCCGTACAGTAGGACAGTCTTGACATTCGTATTGTAGATTCTAACTTTGATATTGGTTGACAGTTGTTTAGAGTTCCATATGTTCCTTAATTGTTGAAATGCTGACTTTTGGTGGAGTTTTGCTCTCTGAGCTGGATGGTTTGGTCGTGGAGCTTTCATCGTTCTTCTGAACGACATCATCCACCTGAGCTACAAATCTTCTCCACCATCTCAAATGTTAGCTTTGCTTTGCCAACCCGTGCTTTCACGTCTGCATCGGATCCTCCTTGTTCATCGATGATGCTGTCCAGGTACGTAGAAGTTTCCACCTCTTCCAGAGTTTCTCCATCAAGTGTGATTGGGTTGATGCTCTCTGCGTTGTATTTCAGGATCTTGCTTTATCCCTTGTGTATATTGAGGCCTACTGATGCAGGGACTGCTGCTACACTCATTGTCTTCATCCGCATTTATTCGTGTGTGTGGGATAGGAAAGCCAGATAATCTGAGAAGTCCAAATCGTCTAATTGATTTCGAGCTGTCCATTATATTCCGTGTTTCCTCTCAGCTTACGAGGTCCTCATAATCCAGTCAACCACTAGGAGAAAGAGGGAGGAGCAGAGTAAGAGACCTTGTCTGACTCCGGTCCTCACTTCCAATTCATCTGTCAACTGTCCTCCATGGACCACTTTGCAGTGTAGTCCCTTCCATCAATTCTGGGTGATGTTAATGTTGCGATTTGGTCTGTGCACGACCGACCCCTAGGGAATATGGTCTGTTGATCTCGAGGTTGGTCGTCTACTGAATCTTTCATCCGGTTCAGCAACACTGTTGAAACGTTTACTGGTACTGACAGTAATGTGATGCCCCTGTAGTTCTCACACTTGCTCAGATCTCCTTTGATATCTTGATGAGTTGCCGTTTTTCAGTCTGTTGGTGGCACTTGTTTTTCTTCCCGAATCTTCCTGAATAGAATGAGGAGCATCTTTGCAGTTATTTCGATGTCTGACTTCAGTGTATCGACTAGTATATTGTTAGGTCATGCTGCTTTCTCACTTCTGATTCGTCTGGTGGCCATCCTGATTTCTTCAGTCGCTGGTGAAGTGACATCTACAAGAAGAGCTGTATGTGCTGCTTCGACGTCCAGGAGTGTTCAGTGGGGCTAGTCTATTCAAGAGTTTCCAAAAATGTCCCACTCATCTCTTCTGCTCTTGAATCTGAGTGATTGTCTCGCTTTCTTTGTCATTGACCGGTCTTTCTGGTTTACTACATATCTGTTGACAGACATAGCATCTGTGCCATAGGTGATACAATTTAGAAAAAATTAGGTGAGTTTTGTATTGTTGTCGTGATTTTAATTCACTAAAGCTGATGGAACTAACTTAAGAAACTGAACGAGTCAAATAGGACAGGTTTTGAACCAGAACCATGATATCCATTTTTAGTACTCGTTATTTTCTAAAAGGTTAGCAAATTCACATGAACTTTTAATATATCTCTATGCGACTGAAATTTGACTGAGTAGTAGGTATTAATAGATACTATTTAGAAATTATGAAGGTCAAGACTAAAAGCCACCCACAGAACAGTTCCCGAAAATACATAAATTAGAAATACTTCTGTTTTCATGATTATGCCCGTGCTGATTGAGAAAATGTTAAATTAAATAGATAATTAAAATTGCACGTCAAATAGGGCGAATTCACAATGAATATGAGATTTCCAGAAAACGTATTCATCTACGAAGCCACTATATCCTGGAGCCTAAAAGCCCTTAAAGGAACCTAAATCATAGTTACATTTATGAACCGCGGACTTTAGCTCCACAAACCCAAACCCTACAGGTGCCTTGAGAATTGCTTAACTTTCGAAACATTGATAGGGCTTGGGACAGTAGCTTTCAGATGAATATTATTTAGCACTCCTGGTAACATTACTATCTAATGATAGATTTGCAAGAATGAAGTATTCTCTAGACAAAATCTCAGTTATTGATTACCCTTAAACTTGCCACATTACGAACATATTATACAACCCACTTGGTCATCTTGAGCAAATAGTTCCGGTTCGCGAACTGCTGCTGCTTTTTTCGACGGTGGTGGAGGAACTACGTCAGAATACAAACTATGAGGTTGAACTTGAGTAAGGTTTTCCTCAAGAATTACAATTTTCTTTGGGTTATCCCATCCGGCTGGACTACAAGTTAATTATTTACCTTAGGTAAATTGAAGACTTACACGAAAATACAGTCTCTTTCGACAACATACGCAGTTTGACTGAATGGAAAACCGTAAATACGACTTTGTAGATAACGATTTAGCAAATCACAGTTCTTGTCCTCCTTTACTGACACATAAAACAGTGCCGCTCCATCTAAATGAATATAAAAATTGATAATCATTTAAAGTGGTAAAAAGTCAGTGAATATTACAGAACATCATGTATTTGAAATAAGAAACAGAAAGAAACTGTGAAGTCATTAACTAGGGAGTCATTTTAACTTACATGTGCAGGAAAACCAATTATTTTAAAATGACAAACAAGTCCTATATCAAGGCAATTTACAATCACTGAAATTACTGACTATTTACATCATTTAGAGGTGTTGGGACATATAATCTGGTTATTTCAAACTCTGCAAACAACGGAAAGTGACAACATTCACATTTTTATGGTTTAACCATTACAAAAATCCTTCTGTTCAAATCTTTGGTCTACTCAATATTATTGATTATTCAGAGTTTGTCTACCTTTATTGTCTGATGTGAGCTAAATTTAGAGACTGTTACCTTTTATACATTCAATAAAATAAAATTGAACTAGTTTCACAAGTGAATACTTAGCAGATCATTTAGACGTACACAAATGCACAAGACTGTGTTTTATAAAAATTTCAAAAACATGCGGATAAACGATACCATGTCACCGAGATAGAAACATGATTACAGTGAAAAACAACGGTGTTTCAAAGAATTAAAGTTATCAACCTCTACTTTGTCGGAGTCAATGATTGAAAACCTCAGGTGATATGGTTTAAAATCGGCAGCAGTGGTGTAAAATAATCATTCTTTATTTTCTATTAGACCTTGAGTTCTAATACCATTTCAAACAGTTTACTTCTTTTCTGTTGTTCTAGGCATCCTTAGATGAATAATACCGGGGGTCCAGTTTGGTATATTGAGCCTATCTGGTTTTCATACTGTAAGCTATCAACGGGAATAACTGAGAAATGTTTATATTTATTGGTTGGACATATTCTATGACAGCGTGTTGTTATTATTACTTCGTTATTCCCTCATGTTTTTTGAGTTCTGACAGACATCAAGTCACCCGAAACAACAAAATGAGTGGAGATTATTTGTTAATGGTCTACAATTATGACTTGATAGTTATAACTGCCACATGATAATTAATGGTTTATAATATATTGCATGTATCAAGCCGAGATATTTTATGCTGAATATTTTGTTTTTGATATTTAATACATCTTTTCTTTGAGAAGTGTACGACAACAATCTGTGAACATAATAAATCTTTTTTCAGTTGGTTTATCAAATATGTCTTGGATTTTTCTAGAAATCTAAGAAAAGTTCCATTTTTCTACTGTTAGCCTACGAATGCTGTCAACGAAACGCAGGTGGTCGCTGTTTTCCACTCACCAACTGTATGAGACGATAAGTCTTCCAAAAAATTTGAAAAAAAAGGGATCATTAGAATAGGATTTGCTGATATGAGCATGAACGCAAATCCAAAGAAACAGCTGCATGAAACCAGCTATGCATATAATTTTTTCAAAGCATCTTTGATGCTTTTACTTCATAATTTACGAGTTATACCACCATTATTGGAAGTTCGTACAATAAGATGAGATGTAGTGTCTGAGATAGAGCTTTTCATAACCTTCCGTTCGTTGTGAGGACATCAGTTAGTCAGCTACAGCATAGGACTGGGCACATTTATGAATTGATCCAAGTTGTCATACTTCATTAGATTAACAAGATGAACACCGAATTCGTGGAGGCACTTACGTCACTGGTAGTAATACATTAAAAAAATATTGCATATAAGAATATGATACAGGAAGAAAGAACTGGTTCGTAGAAAGAAAAGTCTAAATTAATTTTAAGCTCACAGTTTGAGGGAAAACAAAGAATGCATACACTCACGCCACTGTGATCGATTCTCAGCCATTTCACACAGTCTCCAACCATTGGTTACGATAGTCGCGCAGACCACAACCAAGTAGTCTGCATGGCTCAGACCAGAAGTTAGTGACTTCAAGGACTGATGCCACGCTTTGGTTTGGCCGCCCCTAACTTTTTCCGACTAATCGAGTAAATAACGCAGTTGTTAGGAAACGGGTACTAGGTAAGAATAGCAAATCAATTGATGAAGTAGTGAAACTTCATCAGTTGAGATGGCTGGGACACGTGTTACGTATGCCCAATTACCGACCGCCCCGACGTGCGATGTTCTGTGGGGTAGGAGTAAGTTGGAAGAAAGCTAGGGGCGGCCAGACCGAAACATGGCACAAATGCATGAAGTCACTGACAAGTGGACTGAGCCATGTTGGTAGGTGTAGACTACCTGGTTCGGGACCGCGAGATGATAGCAATCGATGGTTAGAGTCCCTGAATGACATGGCTCAAAATCGTTTGTAATGGCGCAGGTGCATCCACTCTTTGTGTTCTCCCAAATTATAATCTCCTGAATCCTCCTTGTCTCTTTTTTTCTCTTTCCAAATTTATTTCACTGGATTATACTCTTTGTATAACATCTTCAAACCCTAATCTTTCCGATTACTGCTTATACTTTTATTACCTCTACCACTACGGGATTTGAATCGACACCTGCATCTCTGTGCTAATGTGGTGTGGTAACTCGAACTGATGTACGCACGAAGTTCTACTTTGTTACTGACTGACTGACTTTTTCCGACCATCCCCAACACTAGTCAGCATAGCGCGTCGTAGTAATCGGTATACAGGCATACGTAACACGTGGCCCAGCCACCTCAGTCGATGAAGATTTATAACCTCATCAATTGATTTACCATCGTTCCCTAATACTATGCTTCTAACTCACTATTACTTACCCGGTGATCCTAGCAGATGCGAGCAATATTTCTAAGACATCTGTGATCAAATACTAGTAACTTACGAGTATCTTCTACTCATAATGGCCACGTTTCACAGACGTAAAGTAGAACAGAACGAAATGTTGATCTGTATACTCGTACTTCTATTGACAGACGGATATCTCGCTTTCATCATAGGTGACGTAAGTTGTCAAAAGCCAAACGAGCTTTCTGAATCCGTGTAGAGATTTCATCAGACACCAACTCATTAGAGCTGATCAGACTTTCAAAATAAGTGAAGTTGTCAAAGCGTTCGATACTTCACTACCTATACTTAGTTCAAATGTTGACGCACGTCAGTCCTGAAGCAATAATTTGCATTTATAGGGGAAGAAACGCATCCCAAACATCTTGGCATTGTTACATATTTCTACCAAGAGACTGCACTTTGTCAGCATCTTCACCAAACAGAACTATATCATCTGTGCATTCCAAGTCAATGTGTGAACCACCTGGTAGGAAGTCTATTCCTGAAACTTCAACTGACGAGTACATTACTTCTAGCAGTCGGTCTGTGATGAAATTAAACAGAAATAAAGATGGCGGGTAGCCTTGCCAGACACAACTTGTGGTTACAAAATTGGATGACAGTTCGCCACAAGTTTTGACGCGACTAATAGTGTTCAAGGAAGGAGACTTCACAAGGTCTATGTACTTTTGAGACAGACACTGCCACAGAACCTCTCGGTCTACAGAGTCAAATGCTGCTTTTAATTTAAGAAAAACTATAATTGTCGGACCCCGACGAGCATGTTTGTGTTCTAAAACCTGACGAATGGTGATTATATGGTCGATGCAGCCACGACCGGGTCTCAAGCCAGCCTAATTTTCACGAGTGTTTGTCAAGCGTTCGATAATTATTAGGGCTAGTATTTTAGATGCTATATTAGTTAAACTGATCCCTGTGTGATTATAGGATGATTTTGACCCCTTCTTATATATTGGGACAACCAGTGATTGCGACCAGTCAGATGAGATTGCATTCGACTCCCAGATTTCAGTTTCTTTTATTAATCTGGAAAGCTGTCTAGTGTTATCTAAAGCTGCTACCCTTCCCATGTCTTTTGCTTTCGTTGCCCACTACTGCTCACGGTCGTTTCGTAGACTTTCGGTTAACCTAGATCTGATTTGTTTTCACTCGTCATCGTGTTCGGAGTCTGATGGGATGAGTCTACAAGAGTTTATTAGTGCAATAGAGGTCACAGACATCCATTGGTTTTTCGTGATCCTTTAGTTCAAATCACTAATAGATGTTGCTGCTGTTTCTACAGCTGTACGCATACCTTCCCAAAAAACATCTGGGTCAGCCTAGTTTTCAAAATCGCCTAAGTGTGACTTCAGGTGTTACTCGAAATTACCTTTGATTTCCTCATCGTTGAGTTCAACTCTAATTGGGTTTTTTTAAATGTGGTTTTACTGCGTCCAGTGAGCCGCAAATAAATACGTGTTCGTATTAGAGCATGATCAGAGTCAAAACATGTATTCCAAAACCAGCGGCAGTCTTCTACTGAACCTCTTCAACGATGACTGATGACATTATGGCCTATTTGAGTCCATCGTAAGTTTGGTGCAAGGGTATCCATGTTAGACGATGTCTCTCCTTATGCTTAAAATTAGTGCTTTTGGAAATAAACGATTGTCTAAGCACAGTTTCAGCAGACGACCATCATTATCTGTTCGCTGAGCCTCCAAATGCCTTGGTACGGCCGAGGGTTGGGAGAGTCCGCTTTCCCTCTCGAAATACTCTCATATGGTCACGCGTATACAGCCACTGTCAGGGAAGTCCTACTCACTGTCTTCTCGCGATGGGGTGTTGTTTACGACATTGAGAGGACGAAGAGTGAAGGTCCGGCGCTTTAACCAGGTTAATGGACATGGATGGTTCACCTAGAGGAGTTGGAATACCTTGATTCCAAACCAACAGTGTACATGGGCTCCAGAATCCTAAGAAAACAAATGGTGTATAAGCCAGTCGTTAATCACCGGTTATCATGGGACTGCATGTCCTGACGTTGGCTTGTGGATCAGACCTTTGGGTCGAAGGCTCCGGGTGTGGCCCCCTAAGAAAACCACCAGCTTTGGTCTGAGAATCCGGGCAGTATCACAGCCCACACAAAAACCAAGTGACTTATGTGGCGCATATGTATCCGGTGCCTTTTTGTACCAATAAATAAATACTAGTATACCCATCTAAATGTCTTTGTTTGGTTTAAGCTACGTACTTGAGCATTAAAGTCACCTGCTACGAGCACTGTCTGAGTGTTTAGCTTTTTGAATATCAGAAGGCTTTCTGTAAAATTCATCTTTCACCTCATCCGAGATGTAGTCAGTGGGAACGTAGGCAAGAACGACGAAAAGGCAACGATGTGTGTCCCTAACCTTCCGAGTTCTTACGGAGCCGTTTAGCTGAAAAATATATAGGCGACCTTCAACAGGGGTTCACTTTAAAAGTGCTTGTTCTGCCTTCATACTAAATGCTATGCCTACACCTTCTAGTCCACGAGAACGTGCCATTGGGTCGCCAGATAAACGGAGGGTTTACCTCTTCGGCTTCCCGTTTTGGTTAGGTGAGGTCGAATGAATGACCATATTAGGATCCTGCATGTGTTACGGAGACACAGAATACACCAGTTGCATGAGATTTTAGTATAATCCAAAGAGGTTTGTTGACCGATTTCATATAGAGTCCGTACATTGAAGGACTTAATGCATAGATTGGAGCGATGTTTCAGTAGACCCAGGACAGTATTCTGTGTACTAGAATCATTGGTCATAGTGACACGAGCAGGAAGTACAGAGTTGATAGTTGATGTAGGAGGAATAATCGGAATTAAAGAGGGAAATCGATTACGAATATAGTGGTCTTGAGTGCTGTTAGAGGTATGTGAGTGGTTGTCAATTTCCAGTTGTCCACACCGTGGAAGGGTTCTTCTAGAAATACCTGAAGAAATTGGGTTAGAGGTGGTCTTGGTGACATGAGAGCGTGACCATGGTACCCAGGGGACAATTGCTTGAGGTCGGTCACAAGACATTTTCCTGGGTAATTCTTGTGTTAACTCCGTACGTGTGGAGACATTATCGCCGGAGATGGAAATTCGTGGGATAAGGCGAGGTGTGTTTTTAGGGTTGACCTTTTGTAACCCCATCCCTTCTTTGTGAGAGGGCAGCATCACTGTTATGCTGGTTGAGGGGAACAACTGACGTCGTCACACCCCTGTATAGTCAACAGTACGACTTCGCCCTCGGACTTTGAGAAACGAATGTTTCAGCCAGTATAGTTCGATTAATTTATCACTATAGGCAAGCCCAACCACCACGTCAAGATAGCAGCAATGGTCGGGCATCAAGGTTATAGATGCTGTTTATTGGTTGGGAACACCTTGGTTCCCACTGATCTACCGTAAAAAACAATTTAGCTGGACGATAATAATCCCACGAATGAACTAGTGGGTAATGTAAATTAACCTTACTAGACCGGCAGAATGAGAAAATGAACACGTTTGGTGGTAGCAACAATTTTTTGGTACGATAAACGACAGTTCCCGGTAGTATACAATGGAAAGGCTAATAGAACAATACATTATTAGAGTGCATACATGCGACAGTATTTCGACGTTAACTCTAATAAATTCCATCAAAGAATGAACATTGGTGGTCATCATTGATGTCATCAAAATAATATAGTTTAATAAATAATGACATTGAAATATCTAAACGAAAAGCGAACAGTCAAGAAGCACTAATTTAACTAGGTCTACAGGATCAACAAAAATAACTACAGTACTTACAGGACAAACAAAAACGTCGAACATGCATTTGAATGAAGTCAAAGTGTTCTTCTGTGAACTGATTTTCTTTTTCCAGAGTCCCCATACAATCAGCCTTAAAAATGAACAAGATTAATACACTTAGTGGACAGTAACAAATATAATGTATCAAACAATCACCTAAAGAACTGGAAAATTAGTTTCTGCATACAAAGCGAATAAAACAATTGGCGAAATTTACGAAGAAGTAAATTACGGATCATTTTAAAATGACATTTCAGTAGACTTATTGACCACTTAATCTTGTGGAATTTAAATGATTTAGATGAGCAATATGAGGTAAATACATTTTTGGTAGTATATGCTACATGAATTAAGCTATCCTACAAGACACAGATTAAAGATTGATAAACTCAAGATAATTGCTCTGTTGGCTGTCTGTCAGTTTACTTCAGTAGAGTTTTTTACGTACCTTTGTCATCACTACAACTATTGGAATCCCCAAATTGTTGATTAGAGCATTTTCATCAGTGTTTGTCTCCGTAGAAATGTTTGCTTGTTCAACATTTATAACCGACGGTGGCTGAGACGCAGTTTCGGATAGTGAGTTTAATGTGCTTGAGAGAAGAGCAGCAGTTGCAGGGTGTATTCCTGATAACTTTTTCGGTGAAACAAGTCCATTAGGTTGATGATTGCCAGATGGGCTGATAAATATGGGCGCGACATGAGCAGTGTTCGCTAGTACATCAGGTTCTAGATAACTACAGAATTGGCGCAAAACTATGTGAGGAAGAAATAAAGTTGATAATGAAGTTTTTTTAATTTTTACTAAATAAAAAGAAATCTGAAGTAACTAAATATTTACGAAAAATATGAATAATAAGAGTAGAATGAATATAAAGCTTATATATGCAGAACCTAGTAATGAGCCAGATGTCCAGCTATTTAAAAGTGTCGAAGGGGAGACAAATTACTTATTTTGCTGCACATAAACAGTACTGTTTTATAAACACATAGATAAGGTGCTATTATATATGTATAAAATTATTCCCCAGTTACTCATACAGCGTATCTATGGTTGGAGATGTAATCTACCTTTTATTATAATATGCACTTGTTTTACTGAGCCTTTTGTCTCCCTATAAAATGAATTAGCAATAATAGTGGCACGTTAACAAACACTGAGCATGTTGAGCGGTTTCAATCGACCTCAAGCATTTAATGATGTTCTGAATTGGAAATTAGTGAATAATTACCTTATGCATACAGGAGTACCAGAACATACTTTCTTTATTTAAAAAAAACTAATTAGTGAATCTCCTGAAAGTCATTTAGTTCCCTAACACTCAAGCAAAGCTTTTAACGACAGCAAAGTTAGTACTTCTATGGAGTATAAGACTTAAATATTTTTTTGTATGAACAAGTAAACAACCATAGATTCTCAAATATTTCGTAAATAAACAAGCACAGTAATCTTTAAACGAGAAATGTTTGTAAAGCGAGTTTCAATACATCGATGTTTGAGTAACAAAAACTTGTAACGATCAGGATCCGAGATATGCTTAGCGTGGGAATACATTTGAACACTCCTACTAAGGTACTGTCAAAGTAAAGGCTTTATGGACTGGACCTACGTTCTTCGACATCACCTTTAAAGTAGACGGAATACGTACTCAAATACAATTGGCAGACAAAAAATTGACCAGAACAATAATGAAAGAACCTGAAAAACTTTAATACACTGACAAACCCTTCGAACCCTACATCTTGTAGTTTTAAACGTGAAACTTAAGAAGTCATTAAAGCTTTTTTATTTACTAAGGACCATATAACTAAATTAATTTTTTAGTGCCCGCTAATCATCCATTTCATATCTACTGTAGAAACTGTTTAGGCTGAGCAGCAGTTATTGAAAAGGCTTTTTTGGACTACTATAATTTTGCTCGAAACAAAATAATCGGGGTACCATACATAACTGCTGACAGAGAAAAATGCATGCCAGTCTGTTTTCTAAGAATTATTACTTTCAGAGAATAGGGAAAACTAACTATTTTTCTTGTGTTCTTGAAGCTTCTCATTTGAAACTTTGAGATTACCAATATGTTCTCTTAAGATACCAACCCACTTATTTAAGCTGCTAATAATATTCCATGGTTCCATCATGCTCACACATATCATGACGAAGCAATCTCCGAACGATTCTTCATTGATTGCGAACTTTAAAAGATGACTATGAATTGTGTTGCCATCCAAAATCCACACATTCAGCTTCGTTTGATCTACGCGATGCAAAAACATCCGATATAAAACCGATCCATACCATCTCTGTCTTCATCCTTGATATCTAAAAGAGTGTACTCAAGTCCAAAACCTTTTCTTGGATCTTCTGTACCCTGCAGTCGTGCTATTAGAGTAGTTTTCCCACACTCGTCATCACCCAAAACAACAAGAGTTTTGGAGGGAGACAATGTTACTGCAGCTTTGTGTGTAACCTCTTCGAGTAGACTAGACCTGCACACTATTAGAACTTTAGGAAGTCAAACAAACCAAAGATGCTTTTTTTTCGTATATAAATCACCTTCTTCGTATCTGTCACAATCCATAAGAGTCGAGTGAAGCACCGTGACCTTGAAAGTAAATAAACCCCTTTCGGCGACTAAATCAATTCAGTCTTCAGTCTTCAGTAATAAGGATAGTAGGTTGATGAACCTGTGTTAATCCTGACACATTGCTTTCCAGTGAAGGTCCAGCTTTTCCTTGAAAGTATTCACTGATGGGGCTTATACCACTTGTTCGGGTAAGGCGTTCCAATCATTGACTACTCGATGAGAAAAACGGGATGCCACTTTAAGTTTATTAGATCGTGGTTTATGAACCTTCTTGCTATGACCTCGGAGATTAATAGTGCTGGAGGGAGCAAAAAGATAAGACATATTAACACCCAAATCATAATTAAAGATACGAAATGCCAGTATAAGGTCACCTCGTGTCCTACGATACGATAAGGGGAAAAGATTTAGGCGTTTTAAACGCTCATCGTAAGGGAGTCTAGAAAGACTCTTCACTAATTTCGTTCCCACACGCTGGACACGCTCAAGGGAGTCAGTATCCTTTACCAGACACGGGCTAGCTGCTTGGATACAGTACTCTAAATGTGGTCTAACATATGTGGGATATAAAATTCTAAACATTTCCTCGTCAAAACATTTGAACGCTCGGCGAAGTGACCATAACGCACGAAAACTTTTGACAGCGGCTGCTTTGCAATGCTTAGTTGTTTTTAAATCATGACTTAATACTACTCCTAAGTCTTTATGCTCTTGAACGCATGGAAGAGGTTTACCCTCAATAGTGTAACGGTAACTATTACCGTGACCGATGTGCATTAGTACACTCTTCCTAGCATTGATTTCTAAGCCCCACTCTCGAGCCCATCTAACTAAATCGTCTAAGTCAGCTTGAAGATCCACATGATCAGCCGCACTTTTTATTGTTCTCCAGATTTTTACATCATCCGCAAACAATAATGTCGACGACCTAAGTAACAGCGGTAAATCATTAACGTAGAGAAGGAAGAGCAGAGGGCCTAAGATGGTGCCTTGGGGTACACCACTTTTGACCGGCTTCCAATCGGATAGCGTTCCGTTGACTCTAACTCTCTGTCTGCGGTCACATAAGAAATTTCCTATCCACTCATGTACAGTACCTATTATTCCGAAGCTCGTGAGCTTCTGCATAAGACCTACGTGTGAAACCTTGTCAAACGCTTTGCTGAAATCTATGAATATCACGTCGACAGACAGACCGTTATCTAGGGCTGCTGTTCAATCCTCCCTCGCAATAAGCAAGTTAGTCAAGCATGAACGCTTGTTACGAAATCCGTGTTGCTCAGGAGCTAACAGATTGTGTAAATCTATGTGGCTTAGCAACCTAACCCGAATTATCTTTTCGAGTAACTTAACGACTATGCTAGTTAGACTGACAGGCCGGTAGTTATATGCTATCTGTCGCTGACCGTCCTTAAATATAGGACTAACTATAGCGTCCTTCCAATCTCTAGGGAGTTGAGCGAGTGAGAGGGACATGTTGAAGAGTGTCGCAAGCGGTTTTGAAATAATGTCCGCAAGAGATGACAGCAACCGTGGATGTAACCCGTCAGGGGGAATACTATCACTACGTTTCATTTGCCGTTTAACATACGAAAACAATCGTTTCGGAAAAGTACGGCTATCATATACTAACTGTCGTTCGTAAGTGGTACGAGATTTGTCTATGGTTTTCTTACAGATATTACGGTATTTTTGGTACTCACGCTTAAATGGCGCATGACTTGTCAACAAGAATAAGTCCCAGAAATGTTTTCTACGCTTTAACAGCTTCCGGGTTTCCTTATTAATCCACGGAGGGCAATGTGATAGCTTACGTGCTGACCATGGGATAAACGGCGACGTTACGGACTCGAATGTAGCCTTAAACTTATTCCATTCATCTTCGATCAATCTATCCGCGTCGACCGACCAATCAGTCAAGATAGCACAGTTTCTGATTTCCGGAATATTGGCTCGCCAGATATTGGGACGGGGTGGAGCAGATACGAATTGTATACCATGTGTCCTAAACTTAAAATGAATTACAACGTGATCACTGTTCACTAGTGGAGGAAGGTGCTGGATATCAAGGACATCCTCAGAGTGGTGGGTGATTCAAAGAGTCATAGACGAAAGCGAAGATGTTTTTTTCTTAACTACCTTCCATATCTATAAGCATTCTTCCACTGATTCATTCACGTAAGAGTTTGAGCATGTGAAATGATCAGAAATAGGGGAAATAAAAGAGAATTCTGTGGGAATTTGTCCCAGCGAGTGTCTAGCCTGCTTATAGCGGTGGTTGGCAATATGCTTTGAAGAGAATGAACACTAATCGTATGTCGATTCCCGAGCTGCTACATTCTAACTGCTGATCACTTATCAACAAAATGGGCTACCTTCAATTCCTACTAGGTCAAAATATACATCGTAATTGTGGTGCCATCACAATTCAAGAATTTTGGTTAAATGATTTACATGATTGCCTATTATCACTACGTGATTTCAAGATTTATCGTACGGTTCGATTAAATAATAAAAGGAGGTGTGGCGGCGGTGTAGCTAAGTTTGTAAACGTGAACTGGTGCTGATCTACTTTTGCGGGTTTTAAGTTTTCAAATGACTTTATCGACTTTATCTAACTCAAAGATTTCGTCCAAAACATCTGAATAAATACAAATATTTTTATGTTACCAATATCTACATGACTCCAGACTGCACATCATCTGCGCTATCTGTTTTCATTGATGAATTCACTGAGTTCGCTGTTACTGCCTTCAGCAATTCACTATCGGTTGTATGTGGTAACTTCAATTAATGTGACTGTAGCTTCCTTACATCACTAGGTCACCAAAATCTAGTAGATTTTCCTACTCATTTGGATGCACATTTATACTTTGTTTTCATTAATGATGTGGGTATCTATGCGAATCGTAAACTTGCTCCATTTTCTAGTTCGGATCACTGTATAATTCGTGTTCTACCTAAAGTATATCGAAAGCATGGGAAGAGTACACTCTTAAATCAAACCAAGAAAGTCAAATATAGGAACTACTCAGAAGAAAATATCCGTATTCTGAAAAACATATTTCATACGACTAACTGGGAATTATTTACAGTGGATTCACTTGAAATCACTACTGATTTTATCACTTGTTACCTTAAATTCTGTTTTAATATTTGTTGTCCCATTGAAACGATTTTCGTAAGTTTTGATCGACTTACATCTACACAACTAAAACGACTACGCAGGATGAAAGAATGTACAAGGAGAAAAGCTCTCATGAAGTTCGTAAGCTAAATGGTCTGATAAACCTAGAGATTAGACGTCTCGACTATATCTCTCTCAACTAATCTCATACCGAGAATGTAGAGAAAGAGAAAGATAATTCCTATACCCCAGAAAGTATCTGGTGATAAGAATGTGAAATTTAGACCTACTGCAATAACTTCACCCTTCCTCAAAACAATGAAAAAATTATTAATATTTCCTCTTCAGCCTGCGATAAAAAAGCATAATAATCTGTATCTTTTTGCTTACAGATTCTCCTCCCTTTTTCTCCTAGTGATTGACTGGATTATGAGGACCTCGTTAGCTGAGAGGAAACACGGAATATAATGGGCAGCTCAAAATCAATTAGACGATTTGGACTTCTCAGATTATCTGGCTTTCCTATCCCACACACACGAATAAATGCGGATGAAAACAATGAGTGTAGCAGCAGTCCCTGCATCAGTAGGCCTCAATATACACAAGGGATAAAGCAAGATCCTGAAATACAACGCAGAGAGCATCAACCCAATCACACTTGATGGAGAAACTCTGGAAGAGGTGGAAACTTCTACGTACCTGGACAGTGTAGCATGGTGTCGAGTGGAGATTGACTGTGAACACCGCTACCAAGAAACTCGTGCCAAATGACTCCATAAAATCCCCCTGAAGCCAAATATCAGAAGGCAGTTAATGGACCAAGTCGAGATATATTTGCTGGCGATCTCGTGGCATCGAAAAGATATTGAGATCGCACCAGGATACAAGCTTGTTTACAGAACGTAACCAAATTTGCGCGAAGTCACAATCAAAGTGTGTGAATAATGGATACTTTTTAGCACAGTTAAACAAAAGCACATTGAAACAAACACTGGTACAGTTTGTTATAATAATAATTGTTTTTATTAAACCAGTCATGTTCTCGGGATAAATGTGAGTCACAACAACAGCACCATCGATGAACAAGGAGGATCCGATGCAAACGTGAAAGCACGGGTTGGCAAAGCAAAGCCAGCATTTCAACAATTGAGGAACATATAGAACTCTAAACAACTGTCAACCAATATCAAAGTTAGAATCTACAATACGAATGTCAAGACTGTCCTACTGTACGGAGCTGAAACTTGGAAAACTACTACAACCATCATCAAAACGGTACAAGTATTTATAAACAATTGTCTATGTAAGATATTGAATGTTTGTTGACCGGAAAACATCAGCAGCAGCCTACTGTGGAAGAGAACAAACCAGCTTCAGCTGAAGAGGAAATTATGAAAAGCCGCTAGAAGTGGATATGACATACATTATGGAAATCATCAAGCTGTATCAGTAGGCCTGCCCTAACTCGGAATCCTGAAAGAAAGCAGAAAAGAGGAAGGCCAAAGAACACATTACGCTGGGAAATGGAATCAGATATGAAAAGGATTAACAACAACCGGATAGCTGAAAAGGATTGCTCAGGACAGGGTTGGATGGAGAATGCTAATGAGCAGCCAATGCTCTTCCACGAGGGATAAGAGGCGTAAATAAGCAAGTTTCAGTCTAAGAAATTATTATTATTATTATTATTATTATTATTATTATTATTCACAAACAGCTAATGGGTACATAAGTTTTGTGAATAGACCACTTTAAGTTACTTCGGAAATGCAATGAAACACATGTTTCAGTAACGTTAGCATAATATCTTTCATATTTAAGCAGGTTTTATGGGATTGCAAAGAATATTGAGATAAGTTTAAGTAACTTATTGATATTTAGGTCCCCTTGAGATAACTTT